CCTTGGAGAGGGACCAGGATTCAATGAAGCGTGAGGATGGTAAGAAAATCAAGAACACGATTGTCAATGGGGTGCTGCAGAACACAGAGAACTCCACCAAAGAGGCAGAACCAGACTGCCTAGAAGTGAAAGAAATCCCCAACCCTGCTATCAGAACTACAAAGTCAAAGATGAGGAGGCAAGAAGGCATTTCTCGATTTTATATCATCCAAGTGGTCTTTCGAAATGCCCTAGAGATTGGATTCTTAGTGGGGCAGTATTTTCTGTATGGATTCAATGTCCCTTCCATGTACGAATGTGACAGATACCCTTGCATTAAAGAAGTAGAGTGCTATGTGTCTAGACCCACTGAGAAGACTGTGTTCTTGGTATTCATGTTTGCTGTCAGTGGGATTTGTGTGGTGCTCAATTTGGCAGAACTGAACCACTTGGGCTGGAGAAAGATCAAAATGGCAGTGAGAGGAGTACAGGCAAAAAGGAAATCCATATATGAAATCAGAAATAAGGACCTGCCAAGAATGAGCATGCCTAACTTTGGCAGGACTCAGTCAAGTGACTCAGCTTATGTGTGAGGCTGTGACAGAACTGAAACACTGTGCCAGGTGGAACAGACCCAGATACCATTAGAGAAAGGTACATTGCTTAGGCAAGCATTTTATCAAACCACCAAGAAAGCCATTAAGGTATTGGATCTGCACTTACTGAACTAGCTGCGAAATGCAGTGCTATGTAAAAGACTGAAAAACCAGCTATAAAACCATGCTTGATCTAGCCTTACAGCACAGCTACTACTATTCCTACTTTTCTTTCTAATGATCGGGTGTTATCTGTCGGTGGAGCGGCTTTTTGGTCCTCATTAGGATAAGTTTACAGTTTGGATTGTCTGACTAATTGTTGTAAACATGTAGAATGTTCATATTAAAAATCTGCAAGGATACTCTATACGGGGTGGGACGGGGTGGGGGAAAATGTTGCAATGTGCAGTTGTAAGCATGTTTTAAAAGGAGGGTAATTGCACCGTAAGGAACCTGACCACAGCTCATTCAGGATATCTGCGTTCATCTATCTCACAGATGTCTTATATTATTTCGCTTGTCTAAATCACAGAGTTTATTCCTGGTGTGTATTACTAGCTATTTTCTATCATAGTTTGTGCATCAATTAGTTGTGCTAAACAATAAATGCTGAATATAAATTTTTTTTGTTTGCCTGTCCACACACACACACACACACACACCAGAGACCTTAATCTTCTTACATTAGTTGTGATCTGCAAAATATATCAGTACATTTCAGTTCATTCCCTAGTATGTGCATGAATAAAATGGAGATGGTTCATGCCAGCCAAGTTATGTATTTACCTACAGTCAACTATGATGACACACATACCAAAGGAACAGAGTTCATTGCTTTTAACTGTGAATATATCACCTTCTCTCTGCTCTTATTTATATAAGTGCCATACTTGAAACATCTAACTCTGTACTTAGTCAAAAGGTTGTCTTGGGATACCAGCTGGAATAAAGTGATTTTATACTCTCCTCTGTTTATTTTATGCTATTTGTTTAGTCATCGCTATGGTGTAAAAAGCAGCTAAAATCTCTATTGATAAATAAAGTACTTGCCTTTTTTTTGTAAGACAGAGAGATTTGTTCTTCTTTATTACTGTATACAATTGTAGAAACGTACAGGGTCAAAATAATTGACTTACAACAATTATTCTTCAGGGTTTAAAGTGTCTTCTTGATATTCTAAACTCCAAGTGACAAAACCTGGGAAATCAGGACTACTCGTTATGTCTGTTTTCCTCCTTAAGCAAGATTTCTCTGTCATTAAACCTGATCCAAAGCCCACTGACACCAACAGCTTGCTTTCTGCTGACACTAAGGGCAACACAGTTGGCCGCCAAGGTCACTTTGGGAACAGCCAGAATATATTTACCTGTAAATGAAACAATTGCAGCTTTTCATCAGGGAATCCAAATAACCTCAGCTTTTCTGCCTTACAGCCAGTTCAAGAAATACACTGTCCATGTCCCATCAACTTACTGATAAGCCACTGGGGCAGTCACAAATAAATCTTAACAGCAACCATTTTAATACAGGATACTAAGTTTTATTTAAGGATCTTTTCTCTTATTTTCACTGAATTAAACAGAAAATATCCCACTGGAAACAGTAGGAGTTGGATCAGGACTAAAAAATGATACAAGTGCATTCATAATTAAATAGTATCTGCTCTTTAACGAAAAGGGCCAAAATGGTGCTGGAAATTGTGGGGATACTTTATAACATAAGAATGCGACAGGGGCTCAGAGTCACAAGCGAGCTCTTGGTTGTATTTTATTTCAAGCCTTAAAACTGATCTTATTGAGTTTTGGCTTGTAGATAATGTATATAAATCTTCTCTTCTTGGCTTACAGTAAATACCTTAACGTTCCATTCTTATGGTTTGTCAGCATTGTCACAAAAAAGATGTCAGTTAATTCTTAGTCTATTCATTATCACTTTCATCTGTGGTCTTTTTTTCTTCCACTGTGAAACATAAAAGGACTTTGAGATGTGTCATGTGTTTAAATATTTTAAAAATATTTTTCCTTATGTATAAAATGAACAGTTTTTCTGACTTGATTATAGAAACCTATAAAGATGGATTTCTCAAACGATTCTTTGAGATATAAATGCACACTGATATTGCTAGTTTACTGCATGCTCACTGGAAACCGCGTTATTTTTAGAAGGACAACATGGCAGCTAAACTCTCCATCTGCGATATAACAAGCTTCTGAAGATTATTATTTGACACAGAAATCTAAGTCTGAGTTTCATTTTACAGAGTCTTGGGATGGTTTTCAAAATCTTCTGAATAGATATCGAAAGGAAAAAATGTTGTTTGACAGTCGTAAGCGTTGCTTTAATGTTGAAGAAATGGGATATTGTGTGCAAAGGGCTTGATCCAGAGCCAATTAAAGTAGAAGGAAAAAACCTCATCCTGAATTCACTGGGCTTTGGTTCAGGTTCAGCATAATTTCCTGTTATGCAGAAGTCCTAATGCAAGTTATTTCCAGTGGTTGCATAGCAGTGTTCGGTCAAACTCTACTGAAGTGCATGATTTGAAAGCTGTAAGGTTTTAATAACTTCAAATTCTTTAGGTAAGACCAATAAAGTATTTGTTTATAATAGTCAATGCCAATGACTCAATTAAATTATTTTGATGCAGTTGCACGTTTTGTGCTTCAGGAAGTTGGGATTCTTCAGATAATTTTCCTAAGAGAAATATATCAGGAAATGCAAATGTTAATTTATGCAACAGGAGCGTGATAAAGTAGAGAAAGACTTATATTTTGATTAACAGAAATGCCATCCTCCATAATTACACTAAATAGAATATGACTTTTCATATTTCAGAAGAGAAATGAAATGGTGCCAGGAGATCTGTTGTTCTAATCTTCCTTTTCAGTTGTTCCTTTTCATTTCTTACCAGCTACTTGTTTGCCATGGACAAGAGAAATATTGCAAACTCTTTTTTTGTCAGTGTATCAGGTGAGAGTCATATGATTAATGCTAATAGACCGTTTGCATGAAAGCTCAGTATTTATTTACAGAAAACGTGCTTTAAAATTGTCACAGCAGTGGAAAAGTGTGTTAACTGAACAGAACTGAATGAACATGAAGCTGAAGGGCACATTACTGGCCACTTAGGTGTTGCTCCTGCCTCAGTGAAATAAATTAGTCTTGTGATTGACAGCTATGGAAGAATCAGACATTAAATATGAAAATTGAGTTCACATTTGCTTTATTCATTGTATACCCTGTTTTGTACTGGTTGACAACACTGTATGTCATCATACACACAAACATAAAAAAACCATAAAATTATGTTCCATAAAAATTATGGAAAACTGCAATAGAATTTAATAGACTATTTGTTCTGTGGAATTTTAAAGTTTACACAAAATAATGATATTATTTCATTTTTACATAGGTTTGATCTTGTGCTTCTCAAACCTGTGTGAATTTCAAAAACTATTTACATAGTGGGTTTGAACAATTTCACTAGGTATGTGTAAATTGCAATGAGATTCTATAAAAAGTGGGTTTTTAAAATAGGATTTTTTTTTTAAATAATGGAAACTAGCTACATGGGGTAGCTGAATACGCTCTTCACATAAATAGTTCAGTCTTAGAGACCATTGGCTTTGAAGAAATATAAGGCTTTTCATCTTTCTTAAGGGAAATCTGAAGAGCAAAGAGATAGCTGAGATGAATGAATCACAGAAGCGGTGAAAATGATTTTAATTTATTTTATGTAGAGAAGTCAGAAACACTCAGAAACTCCAAAGTGGTCTCAGTGCTTGTCCTGCATTATATCTAATAGGATAGGACAGAGCTGCTGCTATGTAGAACCATAGGAAAAGATGTACATGAATTGTTAAGGTTCAATGTGAGGAAGAAGTATTTTCATCCACATCTAAAAGAATACATTTCTTGTAGGGCAAGAGGATGGACCAAATGGACATTGTCCCTGCATCCTTCTGGCTTTTTTTTTTTTTTTTTTTTTTTTTCTGTGAGTCCAAGTCAATTCTGAGCCAGGGGAAAACTCGGTTCCATTATTTCATGAGATTAACAGGAGAGATGACACTATTTCTGTATCGCACACCCATCCCTGGACATTTTGGAATACTTTTCCCAGAAATTCTCTTATTGTAAGCTTTCAGAAAATATACTATGTTAGTATCCACTACTAATACCAGATTCTAAACTCTACCATCCTCTCAATGAAACTCTGATAATATCTCTGGTGAATAAAAGTTGCACTAGGATGTACTTCATGCTATGTCTATTAAAAGGTACTAAAGAAATCATTCAGGAGTCAGCAGCCCATGAAATAAGTGCAGATATGTAGAATTCCATAGCACTGTATTAATAATAAATTATACATATATGTGTGAATATATGTATCTCTAAATATATGCAAAATTGTTAAAAGATTTTTACCTAAATTATATTACTGCGTTACAGATTGAATTTCAGAGATGGATACAGAAGTTGTCACATATCCAAAGACAGTTAAAAACTGTGCAAGTAATGAATAGGCATGTATTCTTACAACTATGTGCAATGAGCTGACCAGATATTTAACTTGCAAAAAACCCCAACAATCACCCTTTTCTTGTGAAATTCTGGGGCTATGGTCTACACTAGCTGCTTTAGCAAGTTTAACTGATCAGGTGTGTAACTAAGTTATAGCTAAAAAGAGGCTTGCCTTCATTGAATTAAAATATATCCTTTTTTTTTTTTTTTTTTAAACCCACATATACAATGACTCTGATTTCCCTGCAAAGTGAGAATCTCTCTTGTATTCAACAGAATGTGAAAGTAAGGTAATTTTCTACTAATCTATCTCTTTGTGTGTATGCGGTGTGGCTAGAAAGGACAGAAAGAGGTTATCAGTACCTGGAGAATAATTAATACATCCTAAAGTGATTAAACAATTCTGGACTTTTAGTTTCTCTTATTGAAAGAAGCATTTGCTCCATATGATTTCCCTATATATTTCATGGTACATAATTAAATGTAACTTTCATTTCTGAAACATTAAATAAAGTTTTTGACTCAGTCATGATCAATGTTTTCATATTTTTTTCCCAGAGAAAGGTCAAAAGATTACTGATTGAAATTGACTCAGTGTCTATTTTCGAAAAGTGTTATTGACAGTTAATCTTATATTTTAAATCTGTTAACAAAATATTTTTTTAGAGGAGCAGTAAAGTAAATAATTATTTGCACCAGCAAAGCAGTATTGCCTCTGGTAGAGATGGTTTCCTTTTCAGTGACAAGCTTTATTTGTCAAATCTATAAGTTGTTTCTTTGTGGGCTTTTTTTTTTTTTTTTTCCTTAACATTGATCAATGATTTTATAAGATATTAGAATTACAGGTTGTGAGGAGATAAGATTAAGGAATGTATATAGCAGCAGAATTGGGAAAAATTGGGATTTGTAGCTACTAAGGAAAAACAGGTGAACTATGGACTTACGCAGTTTTGGGATAGAAACATGTTCAGAACACATTAATAAACAAATTTCCAAGATTCCTTTAATTATCTCTTTTGTAAGCAAAACAATTCCAGAAATTATTTACAAATATTGTCCAGCTTTTCTTTGAAGAATCTAAATGGTACATTACGCTGTCCAAAGCCATCACGAATCCTAATGTCCCTAGCTTCCCCCTTAGCTTTAGTGAATTTGACATATCTGGAGGTTTTTTTGAAATGCACCACATTCTTCATCACTGGTCTGGAATGAAAACTATTTTACCATCAGAAAATTTACCCATCAAAAGCAGATGGTACTTGACAGACTTAGATGGAGCTATCAGACCTAAAGCTTCATGTTAAAGGATGACTTGTGATAAGCATGCATTATGAATGTGTGGTCAGAAGGACTTAAATATAAAGGGGCATTCACTTCTGTGCTTCATGTGATGCATTAGAGATTCAGGTGTTCTGAAGAAAGATAACATCCATAGGAACTTTAATTTCTCCTTTGAAAAAAAAGAAAACAGAACCTGCTCTAGTAGTGTCCTTTGTGTAAGAATGTGTGTATTTCTGTGTATGTACAGCTTCTCAGAGGGACAGT